CTCATGGCCTTTGGCTCTGATCCTTTCACTTTGCTGTTTTGTGCTCTCTGCTGGAGACCCCATGATGTCGCCCTTATAAGCCCAGTCTCTTAGCGCAGGTGTACCCACCTATGCATGCCCACACCCTACTCCAGGTGCCCGCCATCAGGCATGTAGGGTTCCATCATCAATTCTAATGGCGGGAGGGCAGAAAAGCCTGATACTTTACTTAACCTACAGATATATTTTACTTTTCATACTAGTCTTTGAAACCTAGTATGTATTCCACACTTATAACACATCTGAATTTGGCCACCAAATTTCATCAGAAATGCTTGTTCTGTATTCAAGTTTTATAAAATTTACAGTTCAAATAGTAGATTCACACACCCAAGTTATTACAAATGCACTTAAAGGTTTTCTAATCTCATTGATTATCAGTTTTATACTTAAATAAAGCTAAAAACTTACTGCCTTATTTGTACTGGCTATATTTCAGGTAGTTAATAGCTACATGTGACAAGTGGCTATTGAATTAGAAACCACAAATCTAACCCAGTGAATTTTGGTCCTTAATTAAAAGCTTTAAGCTGAAAAAGGTGAACTATACATCACTTTTTATATACCTTCACATCATTGTAGTCCAGTATAAACCTTCTCCAGAGCACCATATTGAAACTTCTTATGTTTGCACTGTTGCATTCTTATCTTGCATTGTTGGAGTGTTTTGCAAATACACAGACACAGAGGCTGAATATCTCTTCATGGGAAATTTATGATTTTCTAAGTTTCTATACATGTATAATATGATCCAGAATATGCTAGCATTAAAATAAGTAGAATAGCAAACTTCTTTTTCCCAACTGTAATTCAGCAAAATACCAATTTTTTATTACATCATTTGAAAATTGTTAGTATGCTTATTGAAAACTTGTTCAGCTATAAATTAGTTAAGATGGAAATGATTTATGTGTGCTGTGACTTAGTCTCTGGATTCATTCCAAAAGTAGTCACCATACAGTAGCTGTATTTTTATATTTGCATTTGTACATATGTAATGATTATAATACATAATGATGTGGGATCACATTATTCCAATAATAGGAAAATAGAATGACACTGCACGCATCAAAAAAAAAAAAACAAAAACAACAACACAACTGTGTTCTCTTGAGTTCCAGATACTGTGTAGTTCCTTAAAGAATGGAGTTTTGCATTAACCTTTGCTTAAATAATGGAACAAAATAAGCATATGCATTAATAAGATATTCTAATGAAATGAGTCATGTAGCTATTTCACCTACTACTGTAATATTCAAATGCCAGTAACTTGCAGCTTGGCTCTTCAGGGATCCCTTAGAGCCAGATATAAAGAAAGAAACCATAATATGTCACTTCAAGATAGGTATTGCTGTGAATAAACAAAACTTACTCCATTATTTCTTCCCATATATTTGCCCTCCACAGTTTGCTGTACTTGGAAGTCTAAAACTTTCCTTGGTCTTGTTTTTCTATATATTTATTGCTCCTTTTGAAGATGCTATATAGGCCATCTTTCTAATCTGCCGCTATGTTTTAGTTTTCTCCTGCGTGATGAGCGCTCCATGTGTTAATGATTTTTTTTTTCATGCTATCTGTCTTCTGAAGCTGAAAATCTAAGATGCGTGAAGTTGCCTCCTCTACTCTAGGACTCATTCAAGTTTTATCCTTCCTATAATATGCGGGCAAAAAATCAACTCTCTCTGTTGCGCACCCTGTTAGACAGTTTCCTCTCTATTATATTGAACACTGAAATTCTCAAACTAGAACCCCAAAGTTCAAACGTCTTTCCTTCATACAGAAATACCAAGAAGCAGGCATGTTCAGATTACTAACATTTAAAAAAAAAGGAATGTATTTTACATAGTAGTAATGTCCTATGTGTGTGAAGAACTACATATTATTGACTTAATATCTAAAGTCATCATATAACTTTTTTCTTTCTCATAGTTTTTTTTTTCTATTAGATTATCCTTTTTTCTTATGAAAGTAAACCATGTGAATTGCTGTATGTGCTATTAGGAATTTCTTCAGTTTTCTGTACTTGAAATATCAATGACATTAGATCAGAATACTACAATCATTTTTAAATAATATTAGACTTCATTGTATACTAAACCTACTTGGACAAGAAAAGTCCGGTTTTGACTGCAGTATTTTCATCTGTGTAACTGAAACCTGCAGGATCTAGTCCCTTAGTGTGTAGACACACCCATCCATTCTCAACATGAACAATTGTGTACAGAGTGACTCCACAATTGTAGTTTCTTACAAGGAAAATTAACACAATTTTTTCCTCATGTATTTTTTTTTCCAATAAAGCCTTATAATTCATTATACAGATTGGTGTTCTGGTCAACATTTATGTGGAAAATAGATTCTTCCCAGTACTCACTACACATGGACACACAAAATGTCTACCTTACCTAAGATCACAGTGTTATCACTCAACAGCTCTTTTCATAAAAGAAGTCAGCATATGGAAGAAAAGGATGAACTTTACCTGCACTGGCAGGACCTTGTAATTCTTTTGTAATGATGGCTTGAGGGAACAGGCCACACACTTTTTTTGGGTTACTCACTATATTCACATCAGCTTTCTTATCTGTAGGTATTATATCTCAAAAACAGGAATAGACAGGTAATATATAAATATTTGTAATAAAAGATGCATTGTAATAAGTTTCTGTTGTACCAACATTTTTGTTTCTTCTTCAGTATCTTACATTTAAAGCACAGGCCAGTTTTTAAATTGTTTCTGTTTCACATGAAAGACTAATTGTACTGTGCCTCATTTGATTGGAGAGTGAGTTGAGTTTTATATACCTTATTCTCAGATGTTGTAGCATTAATCATTTATGGATTATGGAATTCATATTGAAAGTGTTATTTAAAAGCAAGGAATGTTTTCAAATAAGTTTTTGATGCTAATTAAATATTCTCTATTAAAACACTGATGCTAGATAAGTCAGAGACTAGAAAGTTTCTGGACATTAAGTATGGTCCAAAATCAATCACTGTAACAAATCTTTCTGATAAGGAAAATTAACATAATTGAAAATGAGGAAAAATACTGTGAATGTATGTCTTGTGTATGGATATATATAGTCAAGATATAATTAATCCTAAATACTATCTTTTTAATATCATTAGGTAGAGATGAATGGGACAGAAACTAATTATTATCCTATTTAACTTGAAAGGAAATTGGGGCGCTGAAAGCTCTAGTGTTTGTTGTGTCAGATACTCCTTTTTGCTGTGTTCTAACAGTGTCCCAATTCTTTGAACCTTTAAGTATAAATATCAATTATAAAGTAACACATTTCTAGCGTTGATTTATACTGACTCCCTTATTTTATTCAAGATTAAATTGCCGGATTATTTACTTTGTTTTTGTTAAGTCTTATCAGCTCTTTGTAGATTTTTGCCATCAATCCTTTCTTTATCATTAGTGTTGCGTGCAAAAATTTTCTCCAAATCGGTGGGGTGTCTCTTTGTTTTGGTTGTTGTCTCTTTTGTGGCTATAAAGATGGATCTTCCATATGATCCAGCAATTCCACTCCTAGGTATTTACCCAAAGGACACAGAAACATTAATTCAAAAGGGCACCTGCGCCAATGTGTTTATAGCAGCACTGTTTACAATAGCTAAGCTTTGGAAACAGCCCAAATGCCCAAAAATAAATGACTGGATCAAGATGTGGCACATGTACACAATGGAACATTACTCAGCAATCAAAAAAGATAAACTCATGCAATTTGCAGCAACATGGATGGAGCTGGAAGGGATCATGCTCAGCGAAATAAGCCAGAAAGAAAAAGAAAAACACCAGATGGTCTCACTCATAAGGAGGAATTTAGAAAACCTAAATAAGGGACCAGGAAAAGACTAAAACAATAAAGTAAAAATCAAAATCAACAAGCAACTATGGGCCAGAGACACACTGGGTAGGAGGGCGGGAGGAGGGAGTGGGATCGGAACAAGGGATTGGGTGGGAATTGTGTGTGTGCACTCTGACCAGGATGAAGATGCACACATTGTGCAAAAATGAAAAATGATGTAAAAAATATATAAAATTTTAAAGATTGAATTACCCATGATTATTCAGAGAGTGTTTCAAACATCCTGACTTCTAGAAGCCCCTAAGAAAATTGGGCCCTAACACATCTGTATTCTAACACACCTAGTCTTGCATTTGATTCCCACGGATAATCTACAGAGACCCACCCAGTGCGCTGTCCTCAGCTCTCCTCTCGCCTTTCTCCTAGTTGCACTCTGGCTTAGGTTTTTCTGGGTTAAGGTTGGTTCCCTCCCGCCTCCGCCCCCCCCCCCCCCCCAGGCATGGCCAACACCCAGGACTGCAGATACACAGCTTCGAAAAGGAACAGGGGCAAGTGTGATTCTTCCAAGCCAGTCGAAGTCTTCTGCAAAGAGCCCTGGCCACAACGCATGCACCCCCACTCCTGACCCCCCTCCTCTCCAGGGCAGCGTCCTCTCCGCCCGGACCTGAGCCGCACCCCCTTCTCCCACCTCCCCGACGCTCCCGCACAGGGGCCCCGCGGCCAGGGGTGAGGGCGCCTGAGAGGTCAGCGGGGCCGAGGTGGGGGCGCCCGGCCTTATTCCTCACTTGGGTGTCTGGGGCGAGGGGAGCGGCCAGCCTCCCCACCAGGAGGTCCCGAGGGGCCGCGGACCTGCACGGCCGGTGATCATTAACCCGCCGGGAGCCGCGGCCGCGCGGGGGGAGGCGGTGTCTGCCGGCCGCTCCCCTCCCTCCGCCGCGCGCCGGGCCCCGCTCTTCCTCCTCCTCGCGCGCTGGCGGGGCTGCTCCGCCATGACTCAGCGCTTCTCTCCCGGCGGCTCCGCTGGGGACACCGGCCTCTCTCCGGCTCCTCCCGCCGCATCCACCCCCTCTCGCCACCCACCCCCCCCCGGCCGCCAGGCCTTTACCCGCGCGCCCGCCGCCGCGCAGTCCTCAGGGCGCTCCCGCCGCACCCGCCGCCCGCCGCGCGCGTGCCGCACCCTCCGGCCCGACCCCGCCGCCCGCGCGCCCGCCATGGAGCCCGCCGCCCCCCGCCGCCGCCACACCCACCTGCGCGGCTACGCCCTCACGCGGAACCCCCACCTCAACAAGGTGAGCCCGCGGGACCCGCGGCGCCCCCGGCCCCTCAATATCTGGGGCGCCCCCAGCCGGGGTCCTGGCGCCGGGCCTCGCTCCTCCGCGCTCTCGCGCCGGGGCCGTGCCCGGGGAGCCGCCCGGCCATGGGGGCTCCCGGGCACCTCGGAGCCTGTGAGCGCGCAGGGGTGGGGGCGCCCAGGCCGGTCTGCACCCCGGGGGTGTGATGGCTGGGAGGTGCTGCTGCCTCTGCGCCCAGGCATCCCGGGTTTGGCAAAGAGGTGAAGATGTAACTTATTTATTGTACTTTTGGATGTCCCCAATAGCAGGATCCTAGTCACAGAAGGTGATCCCAGACCAAGTGGGAGAATTGAATGTTTTTGTGAAGGTACCTGGTAGGCTGCCAGCGCGCTCCTGTGTGCCAGCCACTTACTGGGTCCACACAATGTGGCAATTCTTGGAGGCTGCTGGGGAGGGAAGTGGTCCTACTGGTGCATCCTGGACAGAAATGTGTGCTGATAGATTTTGATCACATTAACAATCAGCAAGTGAAGGCCTCTTGGTTTCTGGAGCGACAGGGCTGAGAGGCGGGGAATGCTTGGTGGGTGGCTTCTGCCTTGGACACTTGGCATGGCCTGGTGGAAAGCCCTGTCCTACAGCTGGGGCTGTGGGTAAAACCACTTGTGTGTGTGTGTGTGTGTGTACATATACATCTTTTTAAAAATATGGTCTTCTGAAAATGAAAAGCATTTCGTTTCAGATCTTTTCTTTTTTAATTAAAAGGGACTTCAGTCTACAGCCCATTCAGAGACTCTTTTTTCAGATCCTAGTAGCATTTCGTTTTTCTTCAGTGGTGATGAAGTGTAAACACCTAAGATTTCTCTCTAGTGAAAAGCATCTCAGAATTCATAATTTTGTTTGTCTGGATATGAAACAACCACGTTTATTTGTAGCTTCTTTTCCTATAGATTGTTTCTTTGGTGTAATTGTGTGCTTCTGGCACTTAATTTTTTATTTTGTACATGGAAAAAGCCATCAATCAGTACAAAGGTCTTTTAGTCCTTTGGTTGCCTGGACAGTGGTTCCCCTTTTTCCACTAAAAACTGGACTTCAGTTTTACTCCTTTGATCACGTTCCTTGTGATTGTTATTAATGACCTGAGGATTTGTGATTCTTTCATTTAATAAATTATAGCTACTGTGAGTTCTTGATTTTTTTGTGGTGACAGGCAACTTCTATAAATCCATGATTATTTAGTATTTGTGGTTACAAAGCACTATGAAATTTTTAATAGTTTCTACTGATTTTCTTCTCCAAAATGAATTTAATGGCTAGTTTGATTTTTCCTTCCTCTTTACTATTCTGCAGGTAGAAGCCTAATTTCAGTAGAACAAAGGTAGAATTTGATATGACAAAACAATTTGACTTTCATTTGTACCTGCCTGCTGTAATTTACGGCTCAAAGAGGATTGCCACTTTAAAAGAGCCACATGAGTAACATAACCTGTTTGAATTTCCTCCAGTCAGGGGCAAGAGTGGATGTTTCAAGTGGGTAGATAGAATAGTCTTAAGCAAGAGCAAATCATGCCTTTACTATTTACATCAAGAATTTATAATATTACAATCTTCATCTCCTATTCACCAACAAGGATTTTTCCTACTTAAGAATATTATCACAGAGATCTTTCAGCAAAGGTAGAAAGCAGTGTCAGTTTGTTAAGAGCACATTTTTAAAATTGATAATTGAACTTAACTGCATGTATCAAATTGGATCTAACATGTAATTCACCAACTTTGGAGCAATTAAATAATTAAACAATTGTGGAAAGTGTGATATAATGGAATGAATATTCTAAAACTTTTGAGAAATGATTTCAAGTTCCAGTTCTTGCAGTTAGCACTTGTGAGATTTTGAATTTTTTTTTAAATTGAGATAACCTTGGTTTATAGCAACATTGCAGGAGTTTCAGCTTTATACTTCAAGTTGTGTATATATTACTTTATGATCACCACCAAAATCTAATTGTTATCTACCATTATACATTTGTCTCCTTTACCTGTTTTACCCACTTTCACATCCCCCTTCCCCTCTGGTAGCCACCTTTCTGTTGTCAAACTAACAATTTTTTCTGTTGTTTCATTTGTTTATTTATTTTCCACATGTGAGTGAAATCATATGCTATTTGTCTTTCTCCAGCTTAATAATTTTACTTGGAAAAATCTCCTTAAAGTTAATTCATGTTGTCTGAAATGGCAAGATTTCATCTTTTTTTTTAAGTGGGTAGTATTCTACTGTGCTGATAAAGTCATGCATTGTTAGCAACTTTTCTGTCAATGACATACAGAATATATGACCATGGTTCCAGTAGGCTATCTCAGATAGCCTAGGTGTGTTGTAGGCTATGCTATCAGGTTTATGTAATTACACTCGATGATGTTCATACAAGGATAAAATCCCATAAAAATTAATTTCTCAGAATGTATTCTCTTGATTAGATGATGCCTGACTATATACCACATCTTTATACATTCATCTGTAGATGTCTATATAGGTTGTTTCTTGGCAATTGCAAATAATGCTGTAATGAACACTGAGGTACATATATTTTTAATTTATGAATTTTATAGTAAAAAACCCTTCTCTCTGGGAGAGACATTTGCATTTTACTATTTTACCCTTAAATTCATATAGGTGAACTTGAGTGAAATTGTGTGACCTTTACAGTCTTTCATTCAATTCTACTGAATGCCAGCTACATAAAAGAACATTTTTATGAAGAAAAAGGGAAGTATTTGTTTTAAGTACTCTGCTTAAAGTGTATAAAGGGTTGGAAGTAGGAGAGAACATGACTTGTTAAAGAAAAATAGAGGTATGTTTTGGGTAATTACATTTATTGGGATAAGAGGGAGAGAATTGCCAAGACATGAAAGTTAAAAGTTCTAGTGATGTGCAAGCAATCTTTATTCTCTGACTTTGGAAATAGCTACTCTGACAAAACAAATATTTGGATACTTTTCCAATGGTTTTCCAAGTTGACATGACCAAATACTGTTATAGATACTGTGCCAACTCAACAAACTTTTTTTTTTACCGTGTATGGATCCATAATTGATCCCCAGATATATTACAAATTCAGTAGAACTAGTTTGGAATTGTTTCTACTCTAAATCATTAACAACTTTTCTTAGATGTGGGCCTAAATGTAGTGTGGTGGTTTGTATTCTTAAAATGATAAATATTTTACAACTTAAAAATTAATTTTTACCTTAGTGCATTTATTGTGTACTTTCATGCAAAGGATTACTTTTATCTTAAATGAATTTAGAAGATTTAAAAATTGATATTTTTCCTCAGGCCCTGAGTCTGTCATCAGCTAAACTATTTTCAGATGCTTGAGACCTTTGAGGTAATAGAGGGGAGAGAAAACATGTCTTTAAGTTTCAGTAATTTAATCTTATAGTTTGAGCAGTTAATATAAAAATGAACAATGTTCTTCCTCCCATTTGTGATTGGGCTCTTTGTTTTCTTTTTATTGAATTGTATAAGGTCTTTGTTAGCCTCTTGTCAGATGTATAATATGCAAATATTTTCTCCCATTCATTAGGGTGTCTCTTTGTTTTAATGATAGTTTCTTTTGCTGTGTCAAAGCTGTTTAGCTTGATGTAGTTCCATTCATATATTTTTGCTTTTGTTTTACTTGCTGTTGAGTTAAATAGACACTTTTCCAAGAAGGCATACAGATGGCTACCAAGTGCATGAAAAAATGTTCAACATCATTTGTTATAGGGGAAATGTAAGTTAAAACACAGTGAGATTAGATACCACTTTACTTCTGTGAGAATGGCACATAAAAATACCCAAACACAAAAAAATGTTGGTAAGGGTGTGGAGAAAAAGGAATGATGATATACCATTAGGGGGGAAAGTAGACTGACCATACCTCTATGGAAAATATCAACTATCAAAATATTTCAAATAGATATACCATTTCCACTCCTCAGTATATACCTGAAGAATACAAAAATCACTAGTTCTAAAGGATTTATGTACTTCTATATTCATAGCAGTTCATTAACAATGACCAAGTTGTGGAAACAACCGAAATGCCCACCAACAAATCAGTGGATTAAGAAGATGCATATCTAGGGCCTCCCTGGTGGTGCAGGCGGTTGAGCGCAGCTCTGTGAAGCTGTCCACAGCCTCTGCAGTGTGGGTTTGATCCCTGCCAGCGGGGGAGATACCCACATGGGGCGGCAGACCTCTCCCGTTTTGCCTACTGCTCCCCTCAGTAGTATTTCAGTAGATCTGCCTGTTCTGTTCCCCACTCTGTCTCTGGAGAATCCTCTCACCCACCTGCTTATCTGGCCTGTACCCTGGTTCTTGTATGCATGAATAAATAAATCTTAAAAAAGAAGAAGATGTATATCTACACAATGGAATACTACTCAGCTATAAAAAAGATGAGCTCTTGCCATTTGTAACAACATAGATGGAACTGGAGGGGATTATGCTAAATGAAATAAGAGAAGGACAAAAATAAATACCCAATGATTTCAGTCATGTGGACTATAGAGAAAAGAAACACAAAGGAACTGACAGAACTAAACCAAAATAAACCCTAGAAATATGACTGCAGAATTGAGGCAACTAGAGAGGGGGGGAAAGTTGAGGTGGGGATAAAAGAGGAGGGGCACAGTAGTCTGTGGTAAAGGACTTTAAGTGCTTAGATGGTGGGGGTAGGACAGTAGTATAATATCTGAGGAGGCGTAACTATTCCCCTGAATCATATACAGTGTTGTAAACCAATGTTATCTAAATAAAGGGGGAAAAGAAAAAGAAAAGGCACAAAGTCAAAAAAAAATACAAAAGGAAAAATGAGCAATGTTTTCTAAAAACAGGGGACTATCACTTTCAGAGTTTCTATACTAATAAACAAACTTTATACCTAAAATGTTCGGATAATTTTAAAAATCATAGTAGCTGAGAATGCCAACAAAAGAACAAATTGGGGCTATTA